CTGGCCCAGGCCCTCTGACCCCACATGGAGGGCTCTCTGGCCACGCCTCCCTGACTCCCTCCCCGTCTACCCTGCCCATTGGGCTGTGCTGCCAGGACCACTGAGAACCCCCTGCCGCAGGTAGACAGGCTGGCCGGGGCAGTGGACAGGGGCGCGGTGTGTTCTCTGTCTTGCTTCTAGTGTCGTGAGTCTTCACATGTTTATACTGTTGTTTCTGTGCCGTCCACTCACGTAGCACAGCCACCTCACTGAGGCCTCTACTAACTCCATGGCAGTTTATAACGTTTTCCATGAATGCTTTAATCATCCCTCTGTTATTTATTTTAGTACACCTACTACTGCTTTGGTATTTTTAGGACAGATTGGAGTTAATGGGTTAAAAATTTATGTTTTCTAAGATTATTTACGTTGTTGCTAAATTGCTTTCCAAAATATGACAATATTATGGCAGTTCTCCTTTGGGGGAGAAATGGGTTCTAATAATCAGGTTCACAGACCAGATGCATCATGTAACTAACATTATTTGCTCCTAAAGATGGCCTTAGAGGCAGCTTCCACCCTGCAGGTCCAGAGAGAATGAAATAAACAGATCCTGAGGCCAGGGATGGTGGCTCCTGCCTGTCATCCTAGCACTCTGGGAGGCCAGGCAGGTGGATTGCTTGAGCTCAGGAGTTTGAGACCAGCCTGAGCAATAGTGAGACCCTGTCTCTACTAAAAATAGAAAAAGTAGCCACGCATGGTGGCACACACCTGTACTTCCCAGCTATTTGGGAGGCTGAGGCAGGCGGATCTCTTGAACTCAGGAGTTTGAGGTTGCTGTGAGCTATGATGCCACAGCACTCTAGCCAGGGCACAGAGTTGGACGCTGTATCAAAAAAAAAAAAAAAAAAAAGAAAAGGATCCTGAGTGTGAGAGTCATACGTCACACCCCTTCCAACCCAAGAAATCTGACTGCAGACTCAGTGGGACACTGCAGTCATCACAACCTCCAAGAACCAATCCTGTTTCAGACAGAACTGCAGACACATCAGCAGGTAAGAAGTGCTTGGATGACCTTGAATCTTGAAGCAGAAAGAGGCTCCATGGGGAATATGTTTTGTAACTTAAGAAAAATTAAAAGGGATATCTCTCAAATTTTATATTTTGGGGGAATTTGTCTATAATAATAGTAGGGTGTTTTCAGAATTTTAACTGTGATTTTTACTAATATAGATGATATGAAAGCAGGTGGTTCATTGTTAATCATGTTTAAAGGGTAATTTGTGTTTTGTGGGTGATTTTGAGGCTCAAATCTTGTTGACAGTGTGGAAGTAACAATATATTCCTTGTAAATACCCAGGGAACCAGTGACATCCTGAGACCTGGGGAGGGCGCCTGCTCCCTTTGGACTGGATGGGTTAGGAGGTAGCACTTGAGACCTAGGAGGACACCTGTTCCCTTTGGACTGGATGGGTTAGGAGGTAGCAGTTGAGACCTGGGAGGGCACCTGTTCCCTTTGGACTGGATGGGTTAGGAGGTAGCAGT